CATTTGCAAAACAACAGCATTTTGGCTTCAAACCCAATTAGAACAAAAACACAATAACACATTATAATATAAATCTGACGTGTAGTTTTCCTTCAGGAAATATTCAGTTTTTAGTTTTAAACAACTCCCTTAGAAGCTTTAGGGTTCTTAGGATGCCTAGAGTCAATTTTGAACAATTTTGTAACTTACTACAGGGAAACTTAATTCAAATTCAACAAAACACTGAAAGAGGTAGTGCTTTGGGGTACTTAACTTCCTCAAAGGACCATCAGTATGAAACCTCAGATGGGGAGAAACAACATGTAAATAAAATATGTCAACCTAAACCCATGGTAAATAGCAAAAATAGTTCTCTCCTCTTAGGGAAGAAAAATCGTATTTCACATTATCAGGACATAGTGACAGTAAAATTATGAAAATGCATTGTTTCACTGTCAGAAAGTGGGATAAGGTTCTTCTGCATTGGAAGAGGTTCAATTATTAGCTGCAAATACAAGGTCTAATTCCCTGATTCTTATTTGAGGAAGATACTGTCAACACTGGCCTTCAAGTCTTCATTCCCAAAGGAATTTCTTCCTTTGGTGCTTCCAGAGGGGACTTCATGGTACAGGGGAGGGGTTTTCATTCAGTGGGCTTTCAGCATTGGATGCTGATGAGGGTGTGTGACTCAGGGCTTCAGTTACACTGTGGGGTTTGCTGATCTGGGACAGGCTCTATGACAGCTTTAATGCCAGAAAACCACAAATGATGCATTGGCTGTTCTGTTTTCATGACTAATTTAGGCAGGAAAAAACCTCACATTAAATATAAATTCCTGTCTCTTGCAGACTGTTGGTAGTAGTGGGTGTGTGGCTGTAGGCTCATAAGTAACAACTTATTTCACACTGGAATTAACAGTAGAACCACCTCAGTATATGTATTTAGAAAACTGAGCACCATATTTTTATTAATATTCAGTAGTGCTGCTCTTTCAATATCGTTCTCCAAAGGAGATGTAAATATCACACACACTTCTTCCATTAACAGATTCAGATTTCTGAACTTACCACATTATTTATGGTGCTCTAGCTACATAATAGAATAACATCTGATATAAGAAGAGTTTAGAAAATAACATATTTAATCAGGAAGTACAAGAAAACCACTATTCTTTCCCAAAATTCCTAAATTTATTTGTTTTTTCCGGATTTCCTATGCCATGGTACAACTGTGACACCAAGACTCTTCTGCCATACATACATACAAGTATTTAAAATAGCTGAGTGTTATTATTTTTTAACTGTGTACTCACAGTCAATAATTACTACTATGCATATTATAATATCTTTGTATGCTAATCCTGTGTAAAATCTGAGATTTACACTGAGATTTGTAAAATCCCTTGTACTGACAGGAGGGGTGGGGGATGTATTTCAGTACAGTATTTCACTGTGCAGCAGGCCTGGGACCATTGCTAGCAATACAAGAACAAGGAGAATCTCTTAAAAGGTATGGAACTCTGACCCTTGAAGATGTGCACTGTCAGATAGTTTTGTGTTGAGTATTGGTAAGGAAGCTGTGTTGTGACTTTCATGTGTGAACAATGCACTGGAGTCATTGTTTCCTTGGCAATTTTTGTATTTCAAGGTCTTTACAAAATGACTTCTGACTTAAAAAAAAAAATCTTTTTAAGTTTTTATCTGATCTGAAAAGACAGTTATTTCAATTGACTGAGTGATTTGTCCACTTCTGAACGGAGTAGATGGAATATTTAGAAACAAACAGTTAATATTAACAACTTTCTCTGGCAGTGCATGGCAGAACATGCACATAAAAAGGAGCAGTCCTAAGCCCAGCAGAAGGAATTGCTCCTGGCAAGTGTTAGCAGGGAAAATGATAACACTGGCAGTATCTCATCACTGTACACAGTGCTGGGAGGTCAAAACGTTTGTCCCAGGTTGCTTTCCCTATTTCCTTCAGTTGGACACGCTGAGCTAAAGAGATGCCGACGTGCTGGCACAACCCCAGCAGATCAAGCTGTTGATGGCAAATATTTTCAGCCCCTTCAGGGTGAGAGCCCTGTGCTGCAGCCTTACCAGTGAGCCACAGGAACCCTCAGTACATCCTACAGGTACTTTATTCCCTTTGCTGCTGCCTGAACAGCATCAGAGGAGGAAAGGTGGTTGTGCCTGTTCCTTTGGTGTTTTCCCTTCCCTGGGGCAGGCACAGGGGACGGGGCTGTGTCCTGACAACAGTTCCTGGGCTGATGTGCTTTGTATCCTTCCCACAGCTTTCTGTAACCACCTGAAGAATGGTAACCACCACTCTCAGGATTCATTGATAAGAAAAATCACATAGTAAAGAATGTGAATGAAAAGAAGTTTTCTGTCACAGCTGCAGTTTAATGCACTTCTTACAATGTTAATTGTTTCCAGGAGTTTGAACACTTCATCTTCATCCCTTGCCACCTTTCTCAGGAGTGAACTTGTGTCTTTCTTTCTGTGTAAGGAGAAGGGCATCTCTGGCACTTTCCTTTTAGTGGCCCAGAGGTCACCTTTGGGAGGTTTTTCTACCTTTCTGTCCTTTGATACTGTAAAATCTCAGATATCAAGTTGCCTTTCATTCCAATTATAGTCTGACATTAACTACTCTGGATATACACTGATACTTCCTTATCTTGATTAACAATGTGCCACAGAATTAAATACAGTTTCAATATCTCACTTAAATAGAAAATTGAAAAAAAATCGGTGTCTAGGGTTAACTTCAAATACATAAATCTGACTCATATTCACTAAAGCACCAAGTTTCAGTTTTTATTTTGAACTTTATTCACTATAAGTTTAGCTATAAGGTTGCTCTAAAGCAATATAATCTTTAAATATCTAATTTAATAGTAACAGTCTTAAAAAGACTGGAAACAAAATGAAAAACAGTACTGAGCCAAAACTCAGAAATCTCTTCAGGAACTTGCTGGATAGTACCTACAGTTTGTAAAGGGTGGCATCACAGTGAGGAGTTCATGGAGACAAGGTACTCTTGCTAGTGTTCACCTTTGTTAAGTACAGAAGCTTCTAATGACCATGTGGTTGTAGCATTTTGTAGTAAAATACTCAAATTTGACCTGTGTATGCTTACAGTTTGGTGCAGTGATTCCTTAGGAGTGGGGGAGAGGACCTTATTGCAGACCTATTTTCTGACAGTTAAATAGGGGATTAAAAACCCATCCAAACAGGAAACACAACAACAAACCTCAGCTGATCTTTCTACCCTCTTGCCAACACAACATAAATGAGATGTGAGCTGGATGGGCCCTGGCAGACGTGTCTCTGGGCTGTGACAGGGAAAGCAAGAGCTGGGGGCTGGTGCAGAGGCACTGAAGTGACTGTAGATACCCAATCCCAACCAGAAGGCAGCAGCAGCTTCTTGGAATACTCTTTTTCCTTCCCTTGTTCCAGTCCTTATTCTAGACAATTTAGTTGATGGGATTTACTTCAGAGAGACAACTTTATAAAAACACGTGCAAATGTACATCTTTCAAAGCCAAACAGAAAACAGCTCTCCTGAAACAAGTCAGCACCTCATCCCACCATCAGAACCTTGGCTGTGCCAAGGGAGCTTTAGTTCTTGTTTGGTTAAAAAGTGAGCTTGTGCCATTTATAATAATTGTAATAATAATCAAGTCTAAATCAAACCCCCACACGGTTATACTTCTCTTGTTTTAACAGTTCTCTGTTATGCTCATGGTAGGTACTGATGGCTTAGTTTAAGAGAAAAATTCAGGGCTTGTTGATCCATGTTTTTTTGCTCAGAATTGTTTGTCCTCTGGAGGGATGTTTCCATCTCAAGTACAGTATTCACTCTAGTGGACTTGCTGTGTAAGTCAGTGTAGCTTAATCAAATACAGAAGTGGATAAGAAAAAGATTAAATTTTGGGTTCAGACCAACATACACACACATTTAATATACCCATCCTGCCTGTATGGGTAGTATAGAAAAATAAATGGGTTTTGTTTGTTTGTTTTGTGAAAATCGATGGTTCTATACAGACAAGTGATACACCTTAAAAGAAAAATAACAAAATTAACTCTGTGGTTTCATTTGGTCTGAAAGCAACCTCCTATGTGGAACACTTAATTTGTCAAGACATTCTGGCAGCTCTCATCGAAAGTCCAGTATAAGCTTTACTGGTTTGGCTCATTAAATTGAAAATGGGCTTGGAAAAGGTCATAGGGAATTAGAGGTTACAGAACAAATAATCAAAGCAATTAGCTATAACTTGAATCTTCTGAGCTGCCTAAAAGAGAAAGCAGACCTGACCTTGTCAAAGAGAGAAGGATATTAAAATTGCATACCAAGAAGTAATCCAGAAAGGTTATTACAGCTATGTAGAACACTGCAGAGGTTTGGCTTTTGTTGCTGCCATTTTAGTTTGTTTTTTTTTTCTTTTTTTTTTTTTTAAGAATAAAAATATCAAACCCCTCCCACACTCCAAAGGCATGATTCTGCTATTCTGGTACCAAGCTCCCTGTGTGTTTTAAAGGTTTCTGATCCACAGTGAAGATTGTTTATTTATATTGTGCTGGTAGGTACATTAAAGTCTGGGGGTCTGATCCTTCTCACACAGTGTACTGTAAATCAGAAATAACTCCATTGAACTGAGTCATGTCAGTGTAAAAGTGAGAGAAGAGGAGAAACAGACCAAGAATGTCCATGTTAATTTTGATTAAAATAATCCAAAATAATCCATTCTGTGAAACCTGAAAATGTATACCCAGTTGTTAATGCTTTTTCCCTTGAAGTATGTTCATATAAAATTCTTGTGTGTTCTTGTATCAGCCATTTCTCTGAATTTTATAACATGTTATATGGCAATGCCAAATTGCCTTGAAGAAATTTAAAGCTATCCATGTTGCATTACTTTTTTGTTGTTGTTTGTTTTGTCCTGAGGTAAAAGGGTCTCCATTTATAGTTTCCTAAAAGAATTTTTTTTTAAAATTATTTTGGTTTTGTTGTTTCAGGCACACGTCAGATAAATGCCTGCTCAAGATCCGAAGTAGAATCAGACTAACAAAATGAAAACAGGTTGTATTTCTTTTTTAATTTATTAAAGGGTTGTCAGAGGAACACTTGGTTCACATGAGTACCCTGAAGGTTATCACTGGAGTTCCCAAGTTAGAGCCCTTGACACGATCTTGACCCTCCTCATCTTCTCTGCTTCTCACATTGGCTGATATTTTCAGAGCTGTTCTACACCTTCTTCACTGACTTAAAATATTTATATCAGGACCACTGTGTTAATCCCAGTGCCTACAATTAACATTTTCATGTGTGGGCATGCTTTAATGAGGGTTTGCATTTACTTCTTAGAGATTACTTCAGTCTGAGAAAGATGGATTCCAAAAATTGAAGCTGCTCTCTCCAGCAGAGATTATTCTGTTCACTGACCCCAGCCAGAGCTGTGTAATTCATCCCAGCTCAGGAGTTTGGCTCTGCTGCCCTGAGAGTGTTGGGAAATGGGAATGTAGTGTGTGAAAGTGTTCACTGCTGAGGAGGGGATTCTGCTGGACTGGAACACAGAGAAGGCTCAAGGTTTGAAGGCTCCCTTGACATCCAAGAACTGGGATGTTTTGCTGAAATGCAAATCCGAGATGAACTGTCTGAGCAATGCAGCACCTTTACCAGCACCCTGGCTGCAGGGACTGCTGGCAGGCTGGCTGGCTGGCTGGGAGGCTGGCACTGCCCGTGCCCATCACCCCTGTGGAAGGGGCTGGGAACTGCCCTGCTCAGAGAACTGGGAAGGAATCGGAGCAGTGGCATCCAAAGGCTGCACCACAGGGCAGCGTTTGTGAGAAGTGCTTTCAAAGAGCTAAACTGCCTTTTGGGATGTCACAGGAGAGAGCAGTTGATGAGTTGAAGGTGACAAAGGGTCACTTCTTCAGGGCCAGAAATGCCTTCAAAAATACAGACTTGCAGCAGCAGCAATCTGCCCAAGTTGTGACACAGCAGTTTGGTGTGTGGAGTCCTGAGAAAAACCAGAGCACTGCTCTGTGTTTAAGAGCAATGCTGAACTTATAAACTTCCTACAGCCTACTAGAATAACATTTCAGGATCTATTCAGCTTGTGATCTTACCATGCTCCTCATGTTCTAGATAAAAGAAAATTACATTCTGTGTTTTTGATGAATATGGACAGAATGACTGAATGATATGAAGCAGGATTATTTTTTTATTATGGTGAAAGGTGTGATTTTGTCAGATTGCTTAATGTAGGTGAACCTGCAGTGAGATCCTTTGTTGAACTCGGTTTTAAAAGGAGGCTAAAGAGATGGTTTAAAATAATTTTATTATGGTCTATATTGGTTTCCAAAAATAAATCACACATTCTATATGACTCTCATTACACCTTCTTCCAGATATGGAATATTTGGTTGGATTTCTAGTTATTCAAGAACTTATTTTTTATTTTTCTTTCCTTTTTTTAAGGGTGAAAGAAAAGATACGGCAAAGTGATAATTTTATATCAGATAGTAAAGGCTCCTGTTTATTTGAAGTTAGTTTTCTTTTAGAAAAACACATGGATCATCTAGTTGTGATCATTTGAGTGTAATTTGATGTATTCTTAATAAAAGATTCACCCTTTATTTGACGTATTACAATAATGCCTTTCTTGGAGGTTAAATGACTTTTATTTCCAGGTTCTTTTTTGGTTGTGTGTGTGTGTGTGTGTAGTTATAGTAAAATATTAAAGAGTAGACTATTCCTCATTATTAACTAGCCAGCAATGCATATGAACTTAGGAAATGGGAACAAATTGCTCTAGGCCAAAGCAACTGACCTACAAACAAAATGTGTTTCATGCACCTTTTACATATTGTCAGAATGTATTTTAAATCTTGTAGGATAGATGGAAATCAATGGTATTTGTGCCCTTATGTCAGCTTTTCCCTGGGGATTATGTGAACTATATAGTCCCTATATTAAAGGGTTTACTGCTCTCTGAAACCTGCACCAAATCCTTGCTCCTTGTCCTCTGAGTTGTTCTGGATTCAGGATTTAGGAACATTCCTCATCTTCAGTTCTTTTTCTCATTAAAGTTCTGACCTTATATTGCTCTGAATTGTAAGCAGAAGTTGTGTCAAAGATGACCATCACTAAATCTAGAGGCAAAACCAAATAATACACAGAGTATTATCAAAGGCTTAATCTTGAAATGTAGCAAGGAGCAGTTTCCTGAACTGTATATTATCATTTTCTGTCCTTTTTTGACTAGACTGTAGGTGGATGTCTTTGCAGAACTCCCAGGTTCTGTAGAAGACACATGAATGATGGTGATGTAGCAGCTGTGCCCCCTGCCAGCCTTTCTTCATGGGTAGTACTTATTTATTAAACAAATAAATAAACAATGCCTTTAAATCCCCTTTCTGAGCAGGGGAGAGTCTGAGGAGACTCTGTGCTCTGTGAGGTTCATGTCTGCAAGCAGCTGGACACAGCCCCAGGCTGACTGTCCTGCCTCAGGGCAGATGCAGTTTGGTAATCCAGTCTGGGTGGAAGCCAAGGGCTTGATTTGCAGGACCTTTTCTGAATGCAGTGTTGTATTTTTAACAATAAATGATATCATCTATTTAAAAATGACAGACCCCCTCAAGAAATATTTCTTGTGACCCAGCATCAGATATGATGCTTCCCATGAAGCACAGGCTGGTTTTGTGTAATATTTGCTGGAGTATCTCCTGACAGGAGCTGTCCCAGGCTGAGGGACATGGCAGAGTCTCATCAAAGCTGGACAGGAAGGGTTGGCTTCCTCTTACAGCTTCTGCATTTGTCCTTTGTTACCAGCTGTGCAGAAAATGAGGGCTTTGGACTTTCCTATTTTTAGGAAATCTGGAGAAATCATATTTCTTATTTATTGATGTTGGTCTAGAGATAAGTTCATATCCAAGATGATGTAGTAGGTCATAAAGTTTTATTTAGAAAGCTGGTAAATCAAAATTCAAAGAGGAAGAGATTTTTCTGCATTGTTATCGTCAACCCCCTGTACCCTAAAAGAGTGTGGAGAGGAATGGTTTGCTTTGCATAAAATGTCAGTTCTGCTGTGAAGTGCCTGGTACTGTTGATTACAGGAGTAGTAGAAGATGGAACTTCCAAGTACAAAACACCTGGCAGTTCTTAGAAGACCAAACTATATTACTTTAAAGTGAAATGGAGTGGAGTGAAACCTCAAGTTTTAAAACAGTGTATATGAAATTTTCTTTTTCAGTGATTGTGTTCTGTGATCCAGTGCAATGAAATTCTAAAAATCGAGAGGAGGAATTATCAAGGAGTCCCAGCCATTTCTACATTCAGGGATTGCATGAAAATATGTAAGTTGTCTAACTTCCTTTAATAGTACTTGCCAGTTGACTGAATTTAACATTTTAATCACCTTCATGTTCTGGATATATGCAATTGGTTGTTATACTCCTCAAGAGGTTTTTGGTGCAAAGTGACAGTGTTGTGAATTTATTTATTTTTTTTAAATGCATGTGTGAGGATTGGTGAAGATTATAAAACATGAAACGTGAAATAAAATTTCACTTCATTAATTAATTGACTAATAGCATACAACATTGTTCTAGCAGAAAGTTGTCTAAAAAATGCAATATTTTTAAGTAACATTGCATCTTATTAACAACTGAAGTCTTGGCCATATTATCTTGTTCTGAGTTGGAACCTAGTGAGTGTTCTGAATCACCATGAAGTCCTCCCCGAGAGGCTGTAGAATCACTGGACAGTTCCTAGAACTCGACTTTGATCTCGAAAATTTAAAATAGAACTAAAATGTGAAACAGTTGCATAATCTTCCCAGCTGTAGCAAAACCAGAATCAGCCCAAGCAAACTTGCCTGGGACAGTGTTCAGGGCCCCAGGTGGGCACTGGCATCCTGGGGGGGGAGGAAGGCAGAGTCACAGCCCTGGCATGGGCTGCTGTGGGGATTGCCTGGCAGTGCCATCAGGCACCACCTCAACTTCCATGGATTGCCTGGCAGTGCCATCAGGCACTATCTCAACTTCCATGGATTGCCTGGCAGTGCCATCAGGTACCATCTCAACTTCCATGGATTGCCTGGCAGTGCCATCAGGCACTATCTCAACTTCCATGGGAGGGGGAAAGGGGTGTTTGAGCCATACACTGAAATAAGAGGTGTCCAAGTTTGTTTTCATCTGTCAGAATTATGTGTAGGGACAGAAGATTTCTCCCCCCGAGGTGAAGGCTGTAAATGCAGGCAGGGAGGCAGGATCAGAGCTTAGTGAAGGCAGAGGGAGGTTCACAGGGGAACTGGGATGCAGGGCAGCGTGCTGGGCTTTGGTGGCTGCAAAGATGAGTGAAAGACACATAGAGACAAAATACAGATAATAAAGTGAATCTAGATCTTCAGACCTGACCAACATAAAACATTTATTTGGGAAAGAATGGTCTTGTTGCAGTAAATATAATAATCTAACCTGTTCAGCTTTTAGAGGTTGTTGTTGCAGAGAGGAATTTGGTGAGGAGTGCTGGTCAGGTTGCAAACATGTGCACTGAAATGCAAACTGAGTATTTACGACCCCTGTGAGAAATGTTGTACTTTTTTTTTTATCTCTAACCTTTAAGTAACTTTGTATAATTATAAAATAATTATCTGATAACTATGTTTTCTGCTGAAGCTTGGATTAGGAAATCAAAATTCAAGGGAGGGAGAGTAAACTTAGAGGGGGCACCTTGCAAAAATGACATCCTGCTGAAGTTGGAAAGCTGTTAAGCTCATACTCACTTTTACACTGATGTAACTTCATAGTTAGAGAAGTAAATCCACTTTTAAATTGGGTAACTTGTTGGTACATTAAACCAATTGACACTTCTGGGGATTGCATAATTATAAATTGTTGTATATGACACACTGCACTGAAATCATTCTAGCAAAAGGTCAAAACCAGTTTAAAAAAAAGTTCCAGTTCACTTTCTGAACTGGTTTCTTCAAATGTGACAGAATACACAACCCTGGAAGAAAGATAGAAAATTAAATATTATACAACTCTGCCCAATAATAGATTATGACACGTGGAATTTATGAATCTTGTGACTTGTTCTTTATTGATGAGAAGCTGATCATAGCATTGGAATTAGTAAAAGTGCAGTTAAAGCCATTCACAAATGATGCTGCAGCCTAAGTGGAAGGAGGCTTTATTGATTTCCACTGTCAGCTGGGCTTGAGAGACATATACCATATGTTCAACATATGAAAATAGCAGAAAGAAAAATCAAAAGAAATCTCTCCTACTCTATCAGCTAATAAAGTTTTAAATGTTTGTAAAGAATTGAGTGGGCTCAGTGCAGCACATCCATGTGTATTTCATAATATCCCATCATTTAAATGAACAGCACAAGTAATCAGCTAAAATATATTAAGTACATTTTTGCTGAAGAATTTATTTAAAACACAGTTTTACCATTTTATCAGTGTTTTTCTGGATACTGAGATAGGTATGTTTTCCATAGGCAAAGCAATGAAAATTAATTTTCTATCTGTACCTCCTCCATGTAACATACCTGCCATGGACACATAACATTGCAGTGGGAAAATAATCATAACCAGACTTGGAATGCCTTCATCTTCCAAAATGATTTTCAGAGCATTTTATGTGGCTCTTAAAAGTCTTCTGAATCCTGTCATGTCAAGTTGTGGTCATAGGCCGAAGAACCTTTGGTTTCTCACACTCCAAGGTAGTGTGGCAAAAATGCATGGCTGGAAATCAGAGGTGATGCAGTGGAGAGACCCAGGGTGGGGAGCAGGACTGGTGTTGTTCTGTGGGGGTTAATGTGGGACCTTCAGTCATTAGGAGTGGGTTATGTGAAAAGCAAAGTTTGTGTGTGTTTAATATGTAATCCTTTGAAGCTGGCTGAACATGGGCACTGTTTCACTGATGGCAGCTCAGGGGGTTTGTCTCCTGGAGCTCTTGTTCAGATGAACTCACCCCCACTGCCAGGGGGTGAAGTGGCTTTTGCCATTGGGCTTTTGCTCAGGTGGGGAAGCTCACAGTGTTCAGACCTTTTTGGGGCATTCACAGGTACATTGGTCATAGTGACTCCACTGGGCAATTCAGGGTAAGCTTTGAGAACTTGTAAATAGGTTTTTTGGAAGTGTTTGAGAATTTTCTGAATCACAAAACTGTTTAATCTTAATAGAAGTGATACAACATAATGTAAGGAAGAGGGTAACCTGGAAAATACATTTTCTAAAATTTACCACTCCTTTCCAGCTGTTTCTTTAAAACCTCTTCCACTGGGACTTATTCTTGGGTTAGCTTATGTACATTTAGTCTGCTGCTTCTTTTCTAGAGAATGACTTTTGAATATTTGAGATGATCTGTCCCCCTTTGTTCTTAGTCAGTTATATCACTGTAGAGAAACAAAAAAACTGGACTTCTCAGCACAGAGGTTGTTTATTTACCTCTTACCTCCTCAGCCAAAATTAGCTTTATATTAAACTTTACTTTATCCATGAAGAGTCTGAGTTTAAGCTAGAACTTCATTTGGTAACTGTCTTGTATCATTTGACCACTAACACAAATTATTACAGATCAGCATTTGAGAATATCTTTTATTTAGTAAATAATGTATTTAGTTACTAACAAACATGAGAGTCTTGAAAGTAAAAAGACACGAGATAGGATAGGCTTTGTACAGTGGCTTTTAATACCAACTTTCCCATTCATTCTGGAAATGCTAAAGGATTTTGTAGTGGGAAACATGCATTTATCGTGCTATTGTTATTCTAGTTGAAATATGTAAGATTTGAAGGATCACAATTACATATTTAATCACTTTTATATTTTACAACACAACTATTATATACTGTAAATTTGGCCCAGTATGTATTTTTGCTGTTTCTATTAATGGAATGGACATTTGCAGATACAGAACTCTTGATTTCTAGATCCTCTGCAAAATAATGAATTTGCCAAAAAGGTAATAATAAGACCTTTCAAAGAATTTTATCTATTTGTGGAGAAAAAATAAAATAATAAAAAAACTGACAAAACCAAATAAACCCATCCAAACAAAAAGACCCAACAAAACAAAACAAACAAAAAACCAACAAAAAAATCCCCAAACAAATCCTTGCAACAGAACTCTGTCACCAGTGCTGAAAAATGTAATTGCCTGAAAATTTTCAAAATTTCGTTTCATTAGAGGCTCCAACTTTCAGTGGAAATCAACTAACTTGAAACATACTGTAGTTGTCAACTTAAACCAAAACAATGTCATCATAAATTCCAAGCAGGCTGTAGAAAAACATATGGTTTAGTAAATACAATAAACCTTCATTGCTGAAATCAAGCACATAAACCAGATCTCTGTCTGAACTGGTAACAAAAATTATAAAGGCAGCCCTTGAATAGTCATCCCCCACTTTAATGAAACAAGTTTCAGTTGAAAACTAAAAGATTAAAGAACCACAACAAAAGTTTCCCAGAGTCATATCATTTATAACTACAGCCAGTTTCCAGATGCAGAAATGTTCAGCTGTTTCTGCTGTGAGCTGACAATTCAAACCAGGTCTGTCCCTGATCTACAGAGCTCCTTCAATCTGAGTTTTGTGTGTAGTTCTGCCTGAGTACTGCAGGTCCAGTCACCTTTGCTGGGCCTGGTTGTGTGTAGAGGAAGTCAATGTACAGCAACTCACGGAATCCAGACTGTGTCCTTCTTCTCAAATTTATATCTTTCAAATGTGTCCTTATCTTTTGCATTCGATATGCATGAAAATTAACAAAATAGGGTGAAACAACAGCATTATAAACCTCTTTGTGTTATGATAGTAAAATAAAACATTTGACATGCATTTCAAATTCTGTCAGAAAAAGCAAACAAACAAAAAAAGAAGCAAACCAAAAAAAAGAAACAAAAAAACCAGGCTGAACTGAGACCTTCATAGTCCTTGTCTTGAAGCAAAGGGAACTTGATGCTGACTGCAACAACAGTGTCATAATTATTCTTAATGTCTAGAAACAAGGGATAAAGAACATACAATTGGTTGTGCAAGAGTAAGTAAAGAGGTCCTTTCTGGACAAACAGGAGTTCCCAAGCTGAGGAATAGCTCTGCCAAACGTTCTGTTCTCTCATGCTTTGAACTTTGGAATATTTGATTGCTCAGTGCCCTCTAATTAACAACAACAGATGTGATTGTGTAGGTTAGGAAGACCTTGTGCTCCTTGGATTAGGAGGTGCAAAGGAAGGAAGCACAGGAGAAGGAAGAGAGAAAAAGAACCTGGGAAAAGGAAAGAAAGCTCCAAGTAACACTAAAGTGTGACTGGGCATGACCAAGATGTGGTCAACC